CCCTCCCGGCGCCGCTGCGATCGGGATCCCGCGTCTCGGCGAACTTGTCCAGCCCTGCCCTCGTCGCGGCTCCCATGTCCACGGGCCGTGAGCCGGGCTTCCTGCCTGGCCAGTCGCCCGTGTACCAGTTTACAAAGTTGTCTCCCGCCCCCCCGGCCACGTCGTGGCCCGGCTTGCCGCGGGCGGCGCGGTAGGCCAGGGCCACGCCGCGCGTCATGTCTGTGTCGTCGGTGGCGTGGCCGACGGGCCAGGAGAAGGGTCCGCCGCCGACGATGTCGCCAAGGCCGTGGGGGTAGCGGGTGCGTATTTGCGCGTGGGATTCGAACTCGACGCTGGCCCCGAGGGAGTCGCCCGCGTGGAGGGCGAGGAGAGCGCCTACCACTTTGGATTGGCGTTCTGTGAGGGCGGGCATCGTCATGTGTTCTCCGGGCGGCGTCTTGTATGCTTGCTTGTTTGTTTTGCCTTATTTTGAGGGGTGGTTTTGTTCAGGAGGGAATGGAGACGGGATGAGGTGAAAGGCGAGGAGGTAGGTATGCGGAATTGAGGTGGTTGCCTGCTGGGCATTGCGGCTGAGCAATGGTGGCATGACATGGCTCTGTGAGGTTCTGAAGCGAAAAGAAGATGATTTTGACTTTTTATTCGCTGCACGCCTTGGAGGCTGGAGATGGACTTGGTGCAGTTGGGAATAGGTGTTAGAGTCTGATGGGGCTGAGAATAAGAAATGTATGAAAACTGAGTATCGAGATGAGCCACGGTGACACTTCCCGAGTCTTCGCAACGGATTGACGCACACGTGCTGTGGATTCGCCTTCTAAGTTGTAGTTTTGTAGAAAGATTTGTGTGTTTGAAACTTTTTTTAGAGGAGTATCTCTTTGTTGGAGGTGAATTGTGCAGTTGAATTACGTTGGATCACTCACCATATGAGCGAGCATTTCCAAATGCATTGGGCATTGAATATGAGTTGACAGAACCTACTCAATTCTTTCCTTGTAGTCTACTCCTGCAGTACTTGAAATTCTCTATATCAAGAGTAATGTACAGGAATCCTAGTATGAATCTGAAGGAGCCGCGCAATCTCACATTTAGATTTGCAGCATCAAGCTCCTCGTCCATCTCGTATCTGCAACGAAGCCATTTTTTGGCCAGACTATTATTCCCCGCCAAGTCTCTCCAGCGTTGATATACACGTAACGTTATCCATATTAAAGTTGAGTCGGAGTCTATGCCTGTTAATCTAGTATACATATACGCTTTTATGCCAGAGCACCGGAGAACGGACCCCTGCTGTTGACGGCGATATTCCAAGCAGGTCTAAACAACACCATCCCCCAGGCCCATGTCTATTTTGTTACAGTAGGTAAATTCTGTCATTGTACATTCCGAAAAGTAAATAGTCATAATATGATGGCGCCCTAGAAGCTCGTCTTGCGGCTCAACAGCAATAACCGAGATTGGCACTTCGCTTCGACATCTGAGCCGACTCCCCATCTTCGGAACAGATGTCTGCAGACCTGTGTGACCGGCGAATGGACTGTCGTACTATCAAGAGTCATGCCACCGGTCCCGTGTGTCGTCTGTCGTGTCACCGCACCAACACCTGCTCGCCTCGTGTTGTAGCCGCATCACAAACAAAGTATGGTAATACACGCTGTTAAGCTTAGTGAGATCGTTCCCGTCAGAATGGCCTCGTTGCCGAACCGCATCACGGCACAATTGACGCGAAACCGGGAATCGGCCGAGACTCTCGGTCCGTATACCTCGCCTGACAAAAGATTACCGATGGTATTTCGGCCGGTAATCTGAGCATACCAAACTTCTGTCCTAGCAATCGCATCGCTGGTAATGGCGCGGAAATGGGACCACGTCACGAACATTTGCCACACCTGTCAGATAGCTGAGCAAGCGATCAAAGCCTAGGCCAAATCCTCCATGTGGAGGACATCCCCAGCGTCTCAGGTCCAGATACCAGCCCAGGCCGCTGCTCCTGTCCTGCTTCTTGCCAGGCACCTCTAATCCGTGTAACTTCATATTGTCCTCAAGCTCGGATAAGCGATGTTCGCGCATTGAACCTCCAGCCAACTCTCCAAGACTCGGCACTAGGAGATCGAAGCAGTCGACCGTTTCGCCTTGTGGTGGGGACGATGCTGAGCGAAGCATGTAAAAGGCCTTGATCTCGCGGGGATACTGGGTAATGAAGATTGGGAGATAAGCACTATTTGCCTTGTCAACCCCTACCTCCCTGGCTAGATATTTCTCATGCTCGGATTGAAGGCCGCTGCCCCATACGGGTTTGTGCTCGAACTGGTTGGCAACAGGTTGTAGCCGCTCAATGGCTTCGGTGTACGTTATTCTGGGCCACTGACTCGGAGAGAGCAAGCCCGTCCACCGACGGTCGAGTTCCTCTTGCTCAACCAAGTCTGCAAAGGCAAGCCGTTCGGCGGGGTCTCGAGAGTCAAGTCTATTCTGCGCCAGTTCGTTTGCAGCTCGCAATCCTTTCAAGCCTTGCGCAAGATTCTTCAGCATACTCTGAACGAGGTCCATAACCTCGTTCATATCGTTAACAAAGCTCATCTCGGCTTCGAGCATGTAAAACTCGCTCAAGTGACGGGATGTGTCACTTTGTTCAGCTCTAAATGTGGGAGAGAGGGTCCACACATTCCCAAGAGACTGTGCCAGAGCCTCGAGGTGAAGTTGAGTTGAGACGGTTAGATATTTGGGGTCTCTGAAGAATTCCGCCTTTGAGCCAGTCTTGACGGTGAATGCCTCACCAGCGCCTTCACAGTCAGAAGAGGTGATAATTGGAGGATGCGTCTGCTGAAACTTTTGGTTAAAAAAGAACTGAGTGAGAATGAAGCTAGCGTCAGATCTTAGACGGAGGAGCGTGGAATTGAGTGGTGTCCGAGATCGTAGATGCGATATGTAGCGCAAGCTCTCTGGGGTCTGATATTTGTTCTGGATTGGATAAGTCTTCTCAGACGCAAAAGTTAGCGTGCCACTTGATGGGCGGTCAATGCCAGCTGGAATAGACTCACTTGGGGATCAGAAACGCCGAGGACTTTAACTTCGTCAACTCGAAGTTCTTGAATCGTTGGGATTCTCTCAGTGCCTTGCTCCATTCCATCGGCTCCAGATACAGACGGAGTGTGTTGAGAGGAGATATCTGAGACAGAAGATCCTTCTGTGTTGGGTTGCTTCATATCGGCTGAATTGTGCCACCGTCCCTTCAAACAAACAGCAGAGCCAGGTCGTATGCTTTAGCCAGAAAGTTAGCATAGCAGACTGTGCAGGAGAATAGTTGTAGAGCAACGTACTCTGCTGCCAATGCCTTATCGATGACAACTTGGACTGGGCGCATAGAGGATCCATCTGTAATGTCGACAAAACGAACTCCTGCGCTCTTACGGACAGAGCGTACCCATCCGCACAGTTGGACATCCGGAACATTGGTTTCGGGATGCCAGGCCCTAAGGTCTGCCACCGTTTTGATGAGCGGTTGGAACTCGCCAATAACCCTTGCGGAGTAACATCTCTGCCTGGCGCGCGAAACCTGTATGGTGCGGCGATGGCTCGCGAATCTTGACCAAAGAGTCGACCTCATGACGCTGGCACCAACGAAGGTTGCCCAAATTTGCGCGGACGGACTGCGGCTAAGTTGCCGAAGGGTGTCAATTACTCTCGTACACGCAGCTCCAGATGGCTCTCATCTATTGTTGGTCCTGACTCACAAAGGGAAGAAGCGATAAAAGACATCAGGTGGCTCGGGGATGAGCCCAAATTGTGAGAATCGACATGACTTTTGCGGACGGCAAGTCGACGTCCCTGATGCGATGCGATCGGGTGGGTCTGAGCTGCAAGCGAAGGACCAACGCCAGGCACCGGGAGCAGGGCCGGAGACAGAGCCGGGACATATCCGGCCAGGGTCAAAGGGCCTGGTACATTACATTGCATGTCAAAATGCACGGCCGTGTCGCGTACCTGGAGACCTGGAGACGCTGCAACCTGGCAATAACTCGCTCGCACCTTCCCGCCACTGCGGTACGGGAGCTGCCACATCGCATCGTACTTTCCTCGGCCGGGCATTGTTGTGTGATGTGTGATGTGTGGTATCTGTGTGATGATATAGAAAGTCCTTGGCCACGCGACCCGTTCTTCTACACTACCACTCCAATGCCACTACACGCCCAGCACGCTACTATGCGTCTATTCTGAAGTCCCGCCATGGTTCCTCCATGGTCCCTCCACACTCCATGCTAGCACCTGGTCACTACCAAACTTGCTCCTTCCCCCCCTTTCGCACTGGCTTATGTATCTTCGCCTGCCCTATCCCAGAACCAGACCCTCCAAGACCAATCAATAAAGCGTCAATCAAGAAGGAGGCAAGACAGAGACGCGTCCACGCTCATCCATTCGTCTCCATGCGGTGTACAAGATTGGGCAGCACCATCCTCGACTCTAGCATCGTCCGTTCGTGGATCAACCTAATTTCTACCTCCCCCGCTTGTTTCACTGCTCACAAACACTCAATCACCGTATTGGACTGCTGAGTACGCTCCAACGGTCTTGAGGGGTCCTGGATGCGACTTCATCACATCCAGGTGCCGTCGAGCGTTCTCTTTACTGGCCTCTCTCATGTGTCTCTACCATGGCGAGTCGTGATAGTATTGGATATTCGATCTCGACCAACGCCCAGCTCTCAACTCTCAGCCCCGAACGGTGCTTGTCATTTCCGCCGCAGCGAAGTTTCGATCCTTATAATAGAGTACAGAGTAAAAGTTTTCCGTACAGAGTGCCGAGGACATTTTGGCAACTTGCTCGCAAGTTTTCCTGCAGCTGTGCCCTAATTTCGTCGTTTATCTTCCTTTGTGTCTTAATATGTCTCAGATCATTTCTCAACTGGGCTTACCACACGCCTGGCCCGCCGGTTGCCTTCGTGCCAGAGCCTAATCCCTTGGATATCGGCAATTAACAAATGCCAGCATGGGAGTCAAATAGTTCTCCCGAGTCTCCATGCCTCCACAAAAGTGTGGCTGCTAGACCCATGATGGTATTTTGTTGGACAAAGGCGAGATGAGGTGCCACAGATCGGACTGCTAACCAAGTGGCCGCTTGCCGCGTAGCAATCATCCGGTTGAGTCCTCATACCTGGCCTTGTCTTGCTACCAGGGTCCTATTCTCGGCTACCCTTGATGTGCCTGCCACCCACATCATCGATGTGGCCCTTGGGACTTGCCAATGCAGAGGCGAGGGGACGCCATCTCCGTGGGACTTTCATGTCTGAGATGTCTGCACCTGTTTGGGGCCCCTGGGGGTCCTTACCGCTGCAATGTATCAAGTGGAATCGCACCTACGACAGACGCAGTAAACAGCAATGCCGCCGCAACGTATTGTTCCGTTCTGTGAATGCAACCCCAAGGCTCTTCAGCCTACTGGGACTTTGGCACCCTCGGGCTCGTGGTATTGCCAGCACTTTATGTCTTGCTGGCAAGACACCATCTCCCCACCGTAGAATTAGGAAAGTCGAGCGACGCGGTTACTGTGGTTTAAAGGCGGGCTGGAACCAGCTCTCGCTCTTTGTTGTCTACCGTCGAACTTCGTCTCGTCCTTCGTTTCTCGGCCAAGGCCATGTCTTCCATTCCTCGCCTCTAGATGAAGGTGTTCCAAACAAGTGATTCAGATCTTTTCATCGGGTCACACAAATTTGTCGAGCTACGCTCACGCTTATCGACCTCTACTGGGCCCTATATGACAAACCCTCAGAATAGTTTGGTCGTTGTACCTTCAGTGAGGTCCCGCCAAACAAGACGGCACTTGGAGCATATAAAGTCCGACTTTTCGGCTTCACTCGTCCATGTATCAACTCATCACAAGTTCACATACGTGCACAGTTGAACATTGTCTCTCTGGCACCAATATATATTTGTCAGTCTCAACTAAATACCAGCTCTCGTTATGGCTCCAGGGTCAAAATCCAGCCGGGTAAAGCCGTCTGAGGTGGCAGCCGACACCAAGAGGAACTTCATCCCAATGGTAAATGCCAACTACGCCGAGATGTTTCCTCCGTACTCGATTTTGTACCGGCAGCCTGCCGAGCTCGCCATTACACGCCGACATCTCAGTACCAACCCTCCTGTTTTCCGGATAGAAGCTGGAGACCCAGTTATGCTTGCCATTTCCTATGCCGCGGCTGACAGTCGGGCCGCTGAGGCTGTTGGAGGCTCTAGAGTCAGAGTCCCTTTTATCTGCGCTGCCAACGAACGCCGACCTGGGGGGGACTGGGAAACGGGATGCTCTGGGTACGAAGAGAAGCTTTGTCGTCGAAGCAACCTTTCTGCAACGCTGAGCAGTCCTTGGCCAAACACACAAGTGCCATCAAATTATCCTATTCCGTCCACTGGAGGTATTCTTTCTGATGCTGTTGTGGTTTGTCGAGGGCCCCATGATCATTACGAGAGACTTGAGCGCTGGTATGACCTGCCTGTTGTGTCTGTCCCACCGACTCGATGGCCGAAGTTGAAAGAGAACGGGACTATGTACTCGTTTGCGGAAGAACGAGACATGATGAGAGAAAAGATTCGCGGCGCTCTCCGCATCTGCCTTTACAACAACTATGATCGAGTTGTCGTGGGGGATTTTGGCCTGGGTAATAGCTGTCGGAACCCACCCCAGGAAGTTGCCGAACTCTGGCGGGATGTATTGCTCTTCGACCCAGACCTACGGGGACAATTTGCGTACGTTGTCTTTGCTTTTGAGGACCCTTCACAGAGTACTACACGCTTCATTTGGGACGAGATGGCAAGGAAGGACAAAAAAGGGGCGAGCAGCAAGGTCAAGTCGCGTGACAACGCTTCGGCCCCTATCGGATTCTCGCAAGGATCTTCTACAAATTTGGCAACAGATATGGCTATTTTCCAAATGGCCTTGGGCCATACCGAGATTGCGCGTGTTCTCTCGGCTAGAGATCCACGCTATGGTCTAGACATGATTACATGTTGAAGAATTGGAACTTTTAAATGGGGATTATGCACACCCAAGAGCACTACAGGGGGGGGCGGGACTATCCTCAATATGCCTAATATCAAACGGCGGCCATGCCTGGCCACAGCTTGGTGTTTGAAATCTGTTATAGTCTTCGGTCCTCAATTATCTCTCTCTCCTTCTGCACTTCTCCCTTGTTGTCTCCTTTTGGTTGCCCTTGGCTGTTGCAACACTGTGTATATTTCTCAAACTATTGCCTATGGCGACTAACGTCTAGGCGAGTCCAGCATGTTTGATATGAATATCAGTGAATTGATTAACAAAAACAAAAACCAGCGAAGTCATCACCGGCATACTCAGTCAAGACTGTTTAGTCGTGAAGCGGTGACTTTGCATGTGTCGCCATTGTCTTTATTGTCGCCCTTGGTTGCACGTATGCACCTTCAAGACCATGTCTTTTCTTTCTTCTCTATTTTCCCATTACAACGTCTCTCGATGGCACCTGTGCACTAGATGCTGGTTGGTTTCCCCTTGGGATCGTGCTGGTGACGAAACAAGCCCCGGTTCTGTCCTGCATGCAGCCCTTAGAGCAGAAGTGTACGATTGGCTGCTTGTCCAAGTTCACGATGAAATCAGTTGTCAATTGGAACACACATTTGACACACAAGGGGTGGTGGGTCACGTCACTCTGGATGTGAAGTCTGGTTGAAATCGTCATTACAGGCCAAACCCTTGGTCAGGCTGACATCAACCCGTCGAGACTATCAAATAGACATAATTCAAACATGCAGACCCCCCACAAAAAACGCGCCTCCGCATGTTTCTGCAAAATAGGTCGGTTGACCGAATTTCACTCTACTCTTGCTTCTGTGACCTTAAACTCCGTAACTGCAATGTGATTCGATTGCCACGGGGCCATGACTGGAAGCTTGTGTCAGAGACGCCCGCCATTGCCGTTGATGTTAGTCCATTTCAGCCATGAGTCCTGAGACATTATACCACACCTACTAGTCCTTTCATCACACACCCTCTGCTGCCCCATGCCCATGGCCCATGTCCATGTCCATGTCCATTGCCACTGGTTCGTGTCTTTGTCAGATTTCACCCAGGACGTGCCCCCTTCCCCAGGAGGGAATGCTCCAAAGAACCAGCCCGGCCAAAGCCACTCCGAGGCGAGCGAGTCGACGAGCATGTAAGGCCGCCTGCTAGTATATCACACCAGTAGTCTCCCGTGACATGTCATGCGTTGATGCTAACTCGAGGTGGTCTATTGCGAAGTAGTCCACCACATGGCTCACGCTGAACGAAACAAGCACGTCCAACCCAATGTGACGGTTGCAAAGACCGAAACATTGTTTCGTGACGATGGAGTTTTTTTTTTTCTTCTTCTTCTTTGCCCTGCCAGTTGTCGCCCCATCGTGTCCAGTAATCAAACTCGTCGCTGGGCATATAATGCCCTCCATTTCCATCCATGTCTTGGCTGGAAATCTGATTCATGCTCGATCTTCTAGCGCCGTGCTCAGGAAGCACGATACTTATTATAGGCTCCTGCGGCCCGATGCTACGGCTGTAGCTCTGAGACAAGCATACACATACATGTATGTCCCCTTGTGCTCATCTCAC